TCACACACACACACACACACACACACACACACACACACACATACTTGTATTGTTTATATATATTGTTCATATAATGAATGTCTCTCCTCCACAGCTCACTTTCCATTGCAATCGCTGCGTGTGTCAAAAGGCTAGGCTGGCACGATGTTGCTCTACTGGCACAAGGTGAGAGAGTTCTAATGTAGGAAAATCTTTTTTTAAATCCCTGCGAGTTCTTTCAGCTCCTTTGATTTAAAAAACTGAACAATTTTGTGCCACCATGGACACAATGTAAGATTGTTCAGGACGCGTGCGACTTCGACTCTGAATATCAGGGCCAACCAAGGCTGTGAAGGATAGAGTATCCCAGCAGACAGGCGGAGATACAAATTAAATGCACGAGAGAAAATACATTCTTGACTTGGGGGATCGAACTCGTTTCTCTCGCTTGCGACAGGGAAGAGATGAACCGTTACGCCACAAGTGTTGGAACTGTCAGCTGTTTTTACCTACAGCTCGTGTTTATTTATTTTCTTACTAGGCAGTTGTCCTTGACACGAAAACGAAGCATTGTAAAAAAAAAAAAAAGAAAGGGAAATGACCTTTAACATCTTCTGTGGCAGCCACGTGATTACTGTTTGTGTGGGTTTGGACGGGGAATAGATACGGGTAGGCTGGTGAGTAGAAAGGAAGGAGGAAGGAAGGAAGGAAAAAGGACGACGGAGATGATGTAAATAGTAAATATACTGCATGAAGTTGTGTGGTCTGAGGTGTTATTCTGCCTAGAAAGCCTTTACTCACCGTGATGTAGGTCCTTTCGTAACTCTCATGGAGGAAGAACAGGAGGAGGAGAAGAGGAAAGGTGGAGGAGGAGAGGGAAGGGGGAAGAGGAGAGGGAAGGTGGAGGAGGAGAGAGGAGTGGAGGAGGACAGGAGAGGAGGATGATGATGAGGATGATGATGGTGGTGGTGCTGATGATGTGTAAGAGGAGGATGAAAATCAGGAAGGGGAGGAAAGTAAGTGAAAAAGTAGGAGAGAGGCGAGGGTAGAGGGTGTGAGAGTGTGGTAGTAGGAAAATGTAGACGTGCCAAGTGGAAGGGATATGGCGCGTCTTAGGCACCATAAAGAAAACAGATAAAAGTGGAAATGTGGCCCTTTTGATCTCTTGCTGGCGCCACGGACTCATAAAGAAATAATATCAAAAGTGTAGTGGGGAAACAACGGCTTTGAAATACCCTTGTCTAGACAGAATATGGTATAATTCAAGGGAACTGTTCCTTAAAATTGTAACTAAAATCCCGCTTTCAGAATAAATTTCAATATCCATAGTTTACCTTATCTTATCTTCTATCAAATCTTAAAATACTGACCAGAAATGCAAGGAACACCCGCCCTTTTCACTGTGCACGGTAATGAATCATAAGGTACTTCAAGTAGTTTCCAATTAGCGTTTATTTGTGTGTGTTCTTGAGAGAGAGAGAGAGAGAGAG